TTTAGATTGTGATGCAGCACTGCAACTCTGCCACCCTGACCACTACAGTCACTTGCAATCACTCCTGAAAGCACAACAAGTACTTCCTAAAGTCGTGCCCGCCACGATTTTAGGAAACGTACGGGCCACTACAGGAGCGCCCAAATGCATCCAACTAGAAACGTTTCTACTATAATTTTTTTCCGCAGCCGATAGCTGGGCCAAGTACTGGTGGCTTAAAGCACAACAAGTACATGGCCCCAGCCAAGTTGAGAGTCCGATGGAGCCTCTCCTAAAATTACGGAGGCTCGTGCACTGTTGATATAATCAATTGACGGTGGGCGTGGGCGGCCTCCAAAAGGGGCCCGCGGCCAATGGCTGGCATATGCTGGTGGTTATACACGCGTTCCTTCCATGGTTCTTTGTCGCGATCACTCCCAGTGGCTCCTCACCACGTGCACTTGCCATGGCTCCCTCAGCAATCTTAGTGGTTCCTTATCTGTGCAGCTTGGGCTTTGGCTAGTCTCTTACATGCTCAATCTTAGAGGACCTGTCTACCTCTAGGGACGTCTTCCTCACGCGTCTTCCTCTAAGCATGTTGTCTTCCTCTAAGAATGTTAGGCTCCGTCGAGGAATCGCAATGGCTCCTTAAGCATGTTGTCTTCCTCTAAGGATGTTAGGCTCCGTCGAGGAATCGCCATGGCTCCTTATTCATGGAGCTCGCTTTGGCCAGTTGCTTCCATGCTCAATCTTAGAGGACTTGTCTGCCCCTAAGGAGATCTTCCTTATCTGTCTTTGTTTAAGGATCTTATGCTCCTTATCACAGTTGCTCCTTAAGCTCTCTCGGTGGCTCCTTGTCTGTGGAGTTCGAGTTTTGCCCAGTTTCTTACATTCTCGATGTCTGCTCCTAAGGAGATCTTCCTTAGCCGTCTCCCTCTAAGGATCTTAAACCACCGGTACTTCCTAAAGTCAAGCCTGTTAACAAGCCACGATTTTAGGAAATGTACGGGTCACTACAGAAGAGACCAAATTCGTCCGACTAGATTTTTTTCCACGGCCGATAGCTGGTCCAAGTACTGGTGGTTTACGCTCCTTAGACATATGGCTCCCTACCAGTGCTAGGCTTAAATTCTGGGGTGCTGTTATCATCCCTGGAATGAAGGCCTAGCCCAATGATCTGTAAAGCACGATGACTCTAAGACTGAGACCTCCTCGTGAAGAGTCATGTTCCTCACGCTCCTTGGAAAGATCAGTCCTTAGAGGAGCTCCTTACCCTCCTTACATGCTGGTTTCTCAGGCTCTCTTCAGGACGAACATTCTAAATGGCTCCTTAAACCACCAGTATACTTCCTAAAGTCGTGCCTGTTAACAAGCCACAATTTTTTTTTTTTTTTTTTTTTTTTTTTTTTTTTTTTTTTTTTTTTTTTTTTTTTAATGGGAACAAGGCTCCAATCTATTCGTGGGGAGCAGCACGTGCTGGGAACCGGGCCCACCGTCCCATATGAAAATTCACATAAGACTTTGAAAGTTGAGATACCGGGGCCATTACCAGGTTTGGCTAAGAAAAATTGGGGCTACTTAGGAAATTACTACGACAGACTTCGGAATTAGACAAAATTCAGGAACCGACTCAGGAACCCCCCATCCATCCTCTTGATCTCGCTCCGACAAGACTTACTGCAGCAGAGCCACCATCTCCGCTGCTGCTGTACCCTATTTCCATCCTACCAGCTAGCCCCTTTATAGTAGGACGCTTGATATCCCACCATCTCTGTTTTTGAAGACCCCACACACCCTTTTTTGTTTTTTGGAGAAAATCGTATGCACAATTCGGAAAAAGACTCAGACACCACCAAACAATCCCCTGTACCCCACTCCGGCAAGGCTTACTGCAGCAGCGCCACCATCTCTGCTGTTGCTATACCCTATTCCCATCCTACCAGCTAACCCCCTCACTAGTAGGATGCGTGATATCCTTCTCTCACTCGCCTTGATCTCTTTTTTGCGATATCGGGGCCATTACCTGGCTTCGGCTGAGAAAACATCTGAGAACACTTACAGTAATTAAGGAAGTATGGAAGTAGACCGTAGAGGTCCTGCAAATGCTCCAAAACCCTCGAAATCCCTAGCAAAACATTCCAAAGTTCTCCAACATTGTCTTACTCCCTGCCGAGCTCTTCCACGCCTCACACCCCCACATCCTGTTGGGTTACAGGGCAACACAACTCACCCCAGCTCTGACCAGCGGCGCCCCAGCAGCAACCCTTGGTTGTCCCGTGGAATGCCCACCCCAAAGCATCCCCAGATCTCTCTACCAGGCCTCACGCTTCTGCATCAGCAGATTACAGGGCAACACCCCAGCACCGAGCAGCGTCGTTCTGGCATCGAACAACCGCAGATCACTGAGTATTACAACATCGAAGCCACCTAAGATGAGTTGCTAGGAATCCCCGAGTCCTAAAACATTCTTAAGGCCACCAAACAGCCAACGTTTTTTCAAGCATATAAAAAAACTATGAAAAATAGAAAGACAAAAATCAGGAATAGAGCCACCAACAATCCAACTCAGACCCTCGCTGCAGACGAGAAACCGCAGCTCAGGCTTTCAGTCCTTGTACCAGAAATCGCTAGTTCTCACACCCTCCTAGCTAGGGTTACAAGGCAACACAAACAGCCCCAACACTGAACTGACTGTTTTTTTACGGACAGGGAATGTCTTCCTCCCTCTACTACTTCCTTAGCTGCAAACCCCCTAGCGGGTTACAGGGTCACCGCCCCGACATCAGCTACGTTGAAAGAGGTAGTTATGCCTTCCACCCTCGGCATAACTCCAATGGCCTCAAGCTCCTCTTGGTCACAGAGCCACTGCTCCAGCACTGGCCAAAGGCGCCCCATCCCGCCCTTCTAGTAGACTTACTACCCTGAGCAACCCTTCCTCTACTGCACAAGCCCACCCAAAATTCCTCCAAACCATACTTTCGACTTTCACCTTCCCATTTAAGAAAACCAAAAGGAAGAAGGACAAGAACAAGAACCACTAACAATCCATCTCCTTCCCTCACCATAGATGAAGGACACACAGCCCAGGCTTTCAATCCTTATACCAGAAATCATCAGATCTCATACCCCCCTGCTAGGGTTACAAGGCAATACAAACTGCCCCAGCACCGACCTAATTGTTTCTGACTGACAGAGAGTGTCTTCCCCCTCGACAACTCCCTTTAACTGTAAAGCCCCTTAAAAGGTTACAGGGTCATCGCCCCAGCAACAACTACGCCGGGCGAGATGGTTGTGCCTTCCATCCTCGGCATAACTTCAATGGCCTCAAGCTCCCCCTGGTCACATAGCGAATGCTCCAGCACCGGCCAATGTCGTCCCACCCCACCCTTCTGATGATAGACTTACCGCCCTGAACCGCCGATCCCTCCTCTGAGTGACCCCCCCCACTTCCCACCTGCCTCTAATTCGACCTTCCCCCTTTTGTTTGCAAGACCATCTCCTAACAAAGCTGAACTACAACTTTCGAAAACCTCCATCAGATTTTGAATTAGATCAGAGATGGGTAAACATAGGACATCAATTCCACTTTGAAAAAATCAGATTGTTACCCTTCGTAAATCAAAATTGAGTAATCATTCATTGGAATCAGAGCAGAACTCTGATTTACGAATTTCAGATTAGGAATCTTGCTAAGAAAATACGAATTTGGAATTTTAGATTAAAGATCTTGCTCATAATAGAAAAAACGAATTTCAGATTAGGGATCAATTTCATCCAAAGAAAATACGAATTTCAAATGAAAGATCTTGCTCAGAATAGAAAATACGAATTTCGGATTAGGGATCAATTTCATCCAAAAAACACCTAAGATGTCATGAATCAGATGTTAAACTAATCACAATTCTTAAAACGAAATCATTCAAAAACCAACCTCTGAAAAACTTCCAGGAAAGCGACCACAACTCAAGAGAAATCAGGAGAAAGAGCATACAACAAAACGTGAAACTCTCAATTGAAATTCTGATATGTCACATCATTGGAATCCTTTTATCAAGAAGATCACGAACCATGAATTGAAATCATCAACGAAAAGTTATCAGAAGATTTGCAGTAGAGTTCGAATTATAAGACAGCCAAGCCATGCATGGGCCGAATCCTAATCCAATAAGAAGCAGCCTCCCATCCCTTCTTCCTCAACCAAGCTACTTACCTCACACCCCTCAAACCCTACCCCTGTGTCTTTGGGGGAGAAACTCCCTTCCTCCCACTGCAAGCATCTAGGCTCAAAGCACGGCTCCAGCCTTGCTGAAAAGAAACACGTCGCCCATCTGGAAAAGTCGGGGCCGGGCTGCCTTTGATAAATTACATCAGTGGCCTTTGTCGCGTTTCGGCCTCCGGAAGGGGCCCAAGGCCGATGTATGGCGTGTACTGGTGGTATAAACCACCGGTACATCCGAAAAAGCAGATTGAGCCTCTCCTAAGGCCATGGACCGTCGATAAAATGAATCGGCGGTTCATGGCCTCCTATTTTTTTCAGGAGAGGCTCAATCTCCTTTTTTGGATGTACTGGTGGTTTAAGACCCTCACTCTCTGTGCCTCCTTATCTGTGGAGCACGAGTTCTCGGTAGCAAGCAACTATGCTTTTCTAGTGGTCACACTGCTTATCTGTTTGTAGTGTGAGTTTGGGGCTGATTCCATACGTGCTCCATCTTGCAGGTCCCGTGTATGTTTTGAACAAGTCGAACTTCGTCTGTCCATTGTATGATCTCATATTCCGTTATGTTCCTTTGTGGTAGCTGTCCCGGCTCCCAATCACACGTTTGTCCTCTGGGACGGACCCGTTGGGATCAGGCAATTGTAATGTGGTAGGAACAGGGCTTGTGACTATTGAAAAAAAAAAAAAAAAAAAGAAGAAAAAAAAAAAAAAAAAAAAAAAAAAAAAAAGAAACAAGCCTTGTGACTGAAGATGATCTCTCTTCTCGTTGACTCTTGCATGATGCTTTTCATATGCCTGGTGACAGCTCACTGCAGGTAGAACAAACTGAATGGGACAATAAATGGGAACACACCATTGAAGACCTGGGACCAGTTCACTCCCTGGGACTGGAACCATCATGCTACAACTTGTTGCCACCTGTCTGCAATGCAGCGCATATGCCTTCTTGCAGTTCACAGACCACGAGAGGGACAACACCCAAGTGAAGCATCGGTCGTTCCAGTTGGTGGACCAGGGAGCATTGAGGGGAAACACCGAGTGAAGCATTGATCCTTCCAGTTGGCTGTTGGCTATAGCATTTGTCGTTCTAGTTGGCGGTGTCCATTGAGGGAAATTGGCGGACAAGGGACTATTGGGGGGGAAAGAACCCGTTGTTGACAACAACCATAGATCCGTGGTCCACCTTGGCTGGTGGGGGGAGGGGTGCGTGGGTTGGTGTGGAGGGAGGGGGGTTGCGCTAAGGGCGGTTGGGCATGCATGGATGGGGGGTGAGCATGCATAAGGGTGGGGGGCATCCATGGATGGGGGGGTGGGCATGTGTGGATGGGTATGCTACTATGCATAGATGGGGGGTGAGTATGCACAAGGGTGGGGGCCATACATGGATGGGTGGGTGGGCGGGTGAGCTAGTGTGTGTGGGCGGGTGGGCTAGTGTGTGTGGGCAGGTGACCGTGCATGTGTGAGTGTACAGATGTGATATGCGTTAGCCTCGGGACAGAAACTGTGCACCTTACCGACACAATGTCACAGAGGGAAAACAAGCATCTGAGTGAGTAAAGTCAAAGACAACCCTTGGAGTGATACAACCATTTTGACATAGTGCTATTTCAGACCCAAGTGACGCGACAGAAAACATACTAGTGCAAGACCGAAAAACACGAAAAGCACAGGGAAAAAATAATGATGATAGCGAGAAGCACAAAAAATAGCAATGACAATGACCAACTATTCCGCCGGATTTGCACCGACTTATCAGGAGGCTGAACACTTGACAGTTTATGGAATCTGCATATTGGTGCTTTCAGCCATTGCCTCTTTCAAGTTTTAACCCCTGTTGAAAGGGGGACGGCCCGCAGATAACACCACAAGCAGAACATGGCAGCAAGGCAACCACTCAGCAAAGCACCAGGCAAGGCTAACGGGGCAGCCTGACTACGCAGTGCCAATGCCAACTGCATGGAACAACTGCACGAGGGGATCGGGAGCAAGGCAACAGCACAGCGTAGCACAAGGCAGCACTGCAAAAGCGGGCAAACTACACGGCACACAAGAAAAACACACGGAGAGACAAGGCACATGGATGGGCAGCAAGGCAGCAAGGAAGCGAGGCCCAAAGCACAAGGCCTCTGAACTACACGGCAAACAGACGAGCTGCAGGGAATGACATGGCAAGCGGGTGGGCGGCAAGGCAGCGGAGGAGCACAGACAAGGCAGTCCACACATCCAACATGGACCAAAGCAATCCATCACCTCCTGACAGCACAAGTAGAACCCCTCAGACTGTTGGTTCCCACCAACTTCTGAGCCAGCGAACCACTCTGATGAACGCCTGTCATCACCCATGGAACTAAACCCACAGGCATCCTGAACTGAGCGCCCCCCCTAATAGTGTTGCAGGCACTCCAAACAACCCTCCACCACTATTTAGCACTTCTTTGAGGTGCTCACGTATATGCACAGAAAAAGAAATAGACAATGTTAGATATACATAAAGCTGTGTGTGTGTGTGTGTGTGTGTGTGTGTGTATGTGTGTGTGTGTGTGTGTGTGTGTGTGTGTGTGTGTGTGTGTGTGTTGTAAATTTCCCCCTCAACAACCCCTATTCCACCCAGACAAGTACATTCGAGTTGTGAGCCAGACCAACAAGTAAAGAATTCACGTCTTTAGCAAGCAACACCATTTAGAACTGTGTTTAGTTGGGGTTTATTTGGGGCAACAGCTCCTCTTTTACTATGCCTCACACATACAAGGCTGCCCACATTGATTGTGGTTGAGCGGCAGCTGCCCATATCCCCGTGTGGCTTAACGGCCCACTTGCACGTTATAACAGGAGGCAGAGTAAAAGGGAAGGTATGCTCCTGTGTATTTCTCTTCAGATCTTCGTACTCCTATTTATTTCACTTCTGATCTTCATATCCTCTGTTCTCTTAAATGATGCTCATTCATATCTTTTTGCAAGTAGCACAAGAGGGGAGGGTGGAGGCACTGGAGGGGAGGGTGGAGGGGAGGGTGGAGGGAAAGGGATAGAAGGCGGAGTTCGTTTGGAGTGTGGGGTAGGGGGAGGTGGAGAGCAAAGGGCAGGAGACAAATATGAGAAGGGCAGGGTAGAGTATGACATGCAAAGGGCAGGGGAGAGGGGAGAGGGGTATGATGAACTTCACAGAACTCTAAACACTCACCGCTGGAACATATTACTCTCGAATGGCACATAAGGGTAGTTAGTGTTTGGGTTGCATAAGATTTTGAGTTGAGGAGCAGCGGGACGTTGCCTATGGTACGTGGCCACCCCTACAGAATGGACAGGACGGGTCGCGCGCGCGCGCGCGTGTGTGTGTGTGTGTGTGTGTGTGTGTGTGTGTGTGTGTGTGTGTGTGTGTGTGTGTGTGTCCAGGCCCAGCGGCCGTTTTTCAGGCCTGGCACGTTTTCCTTTTTGGATGGGTGGCTGAATTGGCCCCAAAAAGGAAAACGTGCCAGGCCTGAAAAACGGCCGCTGGGCCTGGACGGGCCGGGAATGCTGAATCGGTACATCCAGACTGAAAAACCTGGATGAGTCAACGAACTGAAATGACGTACCCAGACCTGACAAAATGTGGACAGACAAAGGACTGAGAACAGACAAACAACTGAGAACTCAACCGAAAATAAGCCCTCAAAAAAATGCAGACAACCCGAAAAAAAGAACAAATACCCCCCGGACCCAAGCTTCTATGGACCGCCGGGCTTCCAAGGGGGGGGCCGTAAGGCAGCCGTGCATACCACATCTACAAGGAGCTCTAGGTATATTGCTTGCTGTGGGTGGGTTTCTTGAACTTTCTTCTTAAATTCAACCGCATTGTTTTTTTTCGAGGTGGTTCAGCAAATTATCCCTCTTTCGCTCTTGAGTGCCAGTGCCCCTGATGTTTTTGAGGTCATTTCGGCCCGTTTTTGCTTAATTTTGTGTAAGCGTGAAATGAACTCGTCCATCACAGAGAGCCTACCGTCTTGTCCCACATGAAATGCACCCTCCTCATCCCTCATCATGACTGCATAGTACACTTTTGTATGATTAGGGTGTACTGTTACTGATCTCGGGGTAAGAGGGTACTAGAGGTCGTGGGTTTGGGTACTAGAGGGCGTGGGTTTGGGTTACTAGAGGTCGTGGGTTTGGGTTTTGGGTTATGGGTTACTAGAGGTCGTGGGTTTGGGTTTTGGGTTACTAGGGTTACTAGTGGGCGTGGGTTTGGGTTACTGGTGGGCGTGGGTTTGGGTTACTAGTGGGCGTGGGTTTGGGTTACTAGAGGTCGTGGGTTTGGGTTTTGGGTTACTAGGGTTACTAGTGGGCGTGG